TGACAGAAACTAAAGTAGTAATTGATTTATGTTAATACTAGTGAGACTACATGAGAATAGAGACTTATGTTACTATATGGTAAAATTTATAAAGAAAACAAAATAATAAAAACAACAAAAATTTATTAACAACTATATGCATTAATACACCGTACATTTTTATATACTTGTTTTTTTTAGCTTTGCAGCCCAGCTTTGAAGAGTTGAAATACCTGTAAGTAATGAATTTAAAATGTACAAATTGATGAAATTAACTTTAAGTTAGTGAATGTATCAAAAAGAATCTTATTTACCAGGTAGGGGATAATGCAGTTCGTCTCTCAAATAATTGTAGCAGTTTTTGCTAAAGTATCTAATTGTGTAAGCTCTTGTAATGTCTTCTTCTTGCCAGTGAACAATCTTTTTATTTTTTAATATTACTTCTAGTTGTTTAGGGGTAAAAATGTTTTTAAATTGATCTTGTACCTTCTTCTCAACATGCTTGCTTTTCAATAAAGAAATAGATTGTTTTTGTTGACGATTTTCCGTCTGCAGGGAATTTATTTTCTTCCTATATTTGTTAATTGTCAGCTGTTGCTGCATAATTGTTTTCTTCAGCCTAAGATTTTCTGCATTCAACAATATAATTCGCTCGTCTTTGTCTTCTACATTGGTAACAACTGTGTTGGTGGACACATTTACTTCTTCATGTAAATTCAGTAGTATTAATTTAAGCTGTGGCACGCCTGTTGTTCTTGCAGAATCATCATTTTCTGTTCTTTCAGTCTCAACCGCACATTCTTCTAAATTATATTTGCCTAAATTTAAAGAAGGTAAGGCTCCTTTCTTTAATATTAGTTTTGGTGGCAAATTTTGTAATTCAGATTGTAAGTCTCTTTTAAAATCTTCTGAACGGAAATGCAACGAACATATGCGCGGTCTTTTTGCTGTCATGGTACCCTTTCTATCGCATCTCTTAATCCATATATTTTTTAAATTTGTCTCTTTTGGAAAGGAAAAGAAACTTATTTTTTTTTTCATGTCCTGTGCAAGTACATGAGTCATCTTGCAACTTGAAACTGAGCAGCACATGGGCATCTAAGTAAGTACATTAAGACATTAAATTACACATTTTTAAAACTTTTTTTCAATCAAATCAATTTAGTCAATTTGTCAATCAAATTAATTTAGTATTGAAAAATATAGTCTTATTGCGGTTTAACTATTTTACTTAAAAAGTTCAATAAAGATGAATTTAAGATTTATAAAAAAAATAAATAGAACAATATATTATCCTTGTTTATAGATATACCTAGTTATACAAAGAATTTAGTTCGTGGTCGTGGTCACTACTACCCGAGCCAAATAACTCAAGGCCCCATACTTTAGAGATCTACATCTTCGTAACCGATGGATGAAAAAAATTGCTTTAAAGTTTGTTGTATCACTGAACATTTCTACATGTGTATTTGAAAATTTTCGGTTTCGCGGTTTGTGAGGGGCATATTTTATTTGTTCGATGTTCCATATAGTTTCGCAGAAAATCGGGGCTTACAAGGGAACGACTTCGATTTAACTACTTTTCGTAAGAATGGTGTGATAAAACTGTCAGGTATTTTGAAAATACTTTAAACAAAACCGTAAATTAGTCGCACAATAAAATGTTTAGTGTAAAATAAGGCATTTAGGGGTGGTTGGGGTTAACCACCCCCTTAAAAATTACTTCTATCTATTATTGTGTATTTTATATTTGAAGTAAAAATTTTTGAAAATGGTTATAAAGGTTACAAATTAGGGGTAGTTTTTTGTTTATATCTCGAAAATGAAAACTGCCATCGTAATTTGTTAAATGTAGTATTAAATCTATCTATATCGATGTTCCACGAGGTGACCTACCCTCATTAGAAAATATACAGCATATTTTAATGGAAAGGATGGAAGACTACAATATGCAAATTGAAGTCGAAAGTGTATCTCATCTAATGACATCAATGATGGTCAGCAAATTATTGAAGACCAGGATACAAGTGAAAGCATTGTAGAAAATACTGATGCTCATTGTCCATTGAAGGATGACATCGACTACGAGTACAAATTAGAGGCGGTAAATTACTGGACAAGTGGAAGAAAGGTTATTTAAAACTAGAAACCGTAAAAAGCAAATACCGAAAAGTAACGTCAAAGATAGAATTACACAGATGGGCTAAATAACTAAATATATTGAAGAAAGAGCAGAAAAATTAGCAGAAATTACCGAATTTGTAATTAATCAAGCGAGAGCCGCCGTAGATAATAAATTGCCACTACATGATATTGATATACGCAGGTGGGCTATACAAGCCAGAAATGAAAAGAATTTAAACTAAAACTAGAATTAACACTAGCACTATCATTAGAACTAACACTAGAACTAGAAACTTTCGGGTTAAGCCGTGCGTTGTTTGAAAAAATGTTTAACGTTTCGGGTGCCATGTTGCAACCTTCTTCAGAAACAAATTCGAAGTGAAAAGAATTTATCTCCTCAGCTGTTCAAAGCATCTCATAGCTGGGTGCAACGTTTTAAGAAAGCAAATCGGTTAGTAAGCCGAAAAATAACAACATTTCTATCCCGAAAACAAATTGGAAATGTTGATCGAGTAAAAACTTTAGCAAAAGATTTCGTTAAAGAGGCAAAGCTACAAATCCAAATATATGGACCTGAAAACACCTACAATTCGGATCAGAGCGGCTTTAACTTGGAATTCCATTCGGGAAGAACATTAAGCGATTTAGGAGTTAAAACCGTAGAAAGTGTGGTCCAGTCGGTGTCATCTACAACGCACAGTTACACAATTCAACCCGTAATATCTGCTGATGGGAAACTTCTTTCTCCACTTCTTATTGTTTTAATAGAAACCTCTGGCAGCTTTGGACCGAGGGTAGCAACTACAATGTTTAAGGCAGACAATATACAGAGTGTCTCAGCGAGACCGGTCATTAGACGTTTCTGGGGTTCTGGCCAAACAAATAATTTGAGAATGCAGACTTAAGTATTATCAATTACGTTCTCTTCATCTAAAATATTTTCAGATTTCTAGCACTTCCGGTTATACCGGAAATCGCCACCTACTTTATTTTTTTAAATGGAACACCCTGTATATTTTTACATATTTGGATTTGTCTGTTTTGAAGGTTTATAAATAACTTTACTTTTTGCAATTTGATTCGGCCGTTCTCGAGTTATTCGAATTTTTCTAGAAAAATCTGCTCCAGCGGACATTTCTTCAAAAAATCATAGAACACTCGATTTTTGAGATATCAATTTAGGATTCAGAACATGCTTAAACAACATGATGGAGTATGTTTTGGTGCCAAGAACGGCTGTCTAGATCGTTTGGTCACTTTACTATGACACGTTAACTTTTCGAAATTTGGAAGCACTATAACTTCATTTTTTTAAATGGCACCCCCCATATTTTATTACTTAGTCGTCTTCGGCG